ACCAGTTTTAGTCCGTGAGGCAGACACCCTGTCTACTTTTAAGGGTAGGTTAAAACTTTCCTTTTTAAAAAAGCTTAGTTAGAGTGGCTCAGGTTATCCTGAGCTATCTCTTTAGTTATGCTGCTATAGGCTAAGACTGCTAGAGGACAAAAGGACCTTTTTTCATCCTTTTGTTTCATTCTATCTCTCCCTATCTGCGCCTTTGTTTATAGATGCTTGAGATCGGCCGGTTTTTCAGTATAGTCCTGTTTCTCTGACTGTCACTGGCTGGATGTGCTTTCTTTATCCTCTGACACGGGAGCTGGCTCAGAGCTCTTCTGCCTGATTGTGTGTTTCCTAGACGGGGCCGCCTTGGAGCTAGTTTACAGTTGCCTTTTGTACCTCTGCTTCTTTGTCTGTCTCTGCTTCTGTCTCATTTAACCCCAGTCGGCCTCAACGGATGGCCACTCACACTGAGTCTGGTTCTTTCTTCCTGTTAAAAGGGAGTTTTTCTTAGTGTGAGAGATTGCCTGAAGAGTCAATGAGTTGATGCAATCAACTGGTTTTCCTTTGATAGAAAACTTTGAATCAATTTGACTGTATGATCTGGTGAATTGTAAAGTGCCTTAAGGTGACATGTTGTGAATTGGCACTATAGAAATGTTTTGAATAAATTGCACCACTGTACAGCCCTATATTCTATTCTATTCTATTAAAAATCACCCAAAAGTATTATATTTACTGTTGATGACTGCGAAGGTCAACTGGTTGCATTGTATTTTAATTAGGGGTTCTCAAAGTAAAGGGTATGGATGCTAATGATATACACAGATTTCAGATTTTCAGTTCCCTTCCCAATTAAGAGCTACTTGCTGTTGGTCTATTCATAAAATCCTGAGAAAGTTGTAAAAAAATAGTGATGACAATAATATCATCTCATGATAATAACAACACTGCTGGTTCTAATATTACTATTAATTATATTGTAATGTTAATACCCCTAAAAAATTTATGATAAAAACTAATATAAGTTTTAACCTGTTATTTTCAGCTAGTATTTAAGACGAGTCCAACAAATGCATATAATCCATCCAACAATAACAACCAAGAGATTTATACACTAAAGATGTGTGTTATCTTCGTTTTCTGCCTCCTCTTCCTTTTTTCCACAATTCCTGTTGAAATGAAGGTACAGACACATCAGGGGAAGTGAGGCTGCATAAATTCTCATCAATAAATATCATGTATTTTTATTTTATTTTACCTATTGTAATTACATGGTCTCGGAAAATATGGTTATCAATGACTGCATAATAATTTCATTATTTTCATACCTTCAAGATTATGTCTGAACTTACCCATATACCTGCTGCATGTCTGCTAAGGTCTCTGGGAAAGCTTTCCTGTGGGTTTCAGGCAGCATGAAGCAGAACGCAGAACAAGAAATGGCAATAATGCCCATCACAATGTATGGAAGGGCCTTGTGGTATATCCCTATGACAAACAGATGAAAGGCTTTTAATTTTAATGACTCATTTCTATTTTATGTTTTCTTAAAGAATATGAAGAACTTTCTACCCTGAAAAAAATTCTTTGTTCTGTTATTATGCAAAAGAATAAAACATGAAATATTAAAGTAATTCTCACTAACATGAAAAAATAAAAAACTGACCCAAATAAATGATAAAGGGGGAGATGATGGTGCCGATCCGTGCAGCTGTGGAGCAACATCCCATGGCTGTATTCCTGATGACAGTTGGGAAGAGCTCTGCCGTAAAGGCATACACAACACAGAAGGCTGATGTGATTCCAAATTTTCCTATCATCTCAAGTAGAACAGCCACACTGGGTAAATCTGAGGAGATAACATTAAGATAGAGACCCTTAAGAAAAATCCGGAGAGATTCACCATCAATTTCAAAACAGGCCGTCCTGCAAACTAAAACCACTCTGGAAGGTGTCACTTAGAAAAGTTACATTTTCCTTACATGGAGAGTTTTGATGTCAAGTGCAAAAATGAAAATGTGATATATGTGAAATCACTGAATATCTCCATTACAGATTAATTTACAAATAAAGGATGCACCCTGGAAAATGTTCAAGTTTAAATCAATATTGTTGTGAGATTTTGACATAGAATGCCTTTACAATGTGCAACAGTGCAAACAATAACTTTTAATTTTCAAAATTTCTTCTGGTTTCTTCTACTAATTTCAATAGCAAGTGAAACATGCCATATAGCACATTAATCTCAGACTTATATTTTTAAGCTTTTATGACATTATACCAACAAAACCCCCTACTAAGCTCAGAACAGAAATGTTTGTATTTTTGGTTAGGGAAGATAAATGGTTTGAGAGAATAGAAAAATGCGCTGAGTTTAGCATCCACTTAATTTCAAACTAATTCACACTTTGCTGCAAGTGATCAAATCATCTGTGTCTGACGCAACAGTGTAGGTGATGACCTTTAATTTATATGAGTTGTTAAATGTACAGGTGCTAAATGAGTCTTTCCAAACAGTCTAAAACCTAAAACTCCCAACCCACAGACACAACATCGCTGTAAACTAAGGAAGCACTTTGGACAGAAAGCAAAAACCTCTATCAAGCTGTATTCTTTCAAAACTTCTTTACCTGCATAGGCTTTGCTCTTTTGAAAAGGTGCTTTTAATCTGTTAGGCGAGGCTCACTGGAATGCATGTTTACATTGTTGAATTTTATCCTGATATTTGAATGTTTTAATTAATAAACAGGCATTTGTTGAAGCTGTGGCAGAAGAAGGGAAGCTACTGTTCAAGGTTATTCGGTTGGCTAGGGCTCATTAAAAATACCTTGACTTCTCAAGTAAAAGAGAGTTGCCACAATTTGTTATAAAGCTAAATAAATAAAAAAATCTGTTCACTTTTAAGATTTCAACATAACCATGTGGATAAAGTTGTAAGTACCTCTCATTTAAGGAAAGATAAACCCACAATGGTCACAGAAATAACTTATAATATCTTTTATGAAATTTAACTAATCCAAGTCAAACAGTACCTTTCATCCTGATTCAAAGGAATTAAACTCATGAAACATGACAAAAATGATGGTACCTTAATCTTAAAGGTATAGTGGAGAATGTTCTTTTTCCAGGCAGATCATCAAAATAAGTGGTCCTTCTAATTGTCAATCATTCTACTGATATGTTTACATATGGCCATCCTACATGTTCATCCCCATTTTCACCTACCGGTTGTGAGTCTGACATAGAGGAAAAATTGCAAATCTTATTTTGGAAAGTATGTTTGTATGTGTGAAGAGAACAGCAACTTTTAAACAAAGAGTGCACAAGGACAAATAGGCTTGAGCACTCGTTCAGGGGTTGTGCATGTGCAATTTTTTTTTTAAGTCAAGAGGGTGGGTCTTTTAAAAAAAATTACATACCACCACTATACCTTT